GAGTAAATGGGCAGATACTGAGAGAAAGAGAAAAGCACACTGAAGACTCGTCTGTGTGAATCGGCTCAAGTGAAGTCCAGCCACACAAACTGCAGCATTCAGCACAGTCGGTCCATGCTGGACTGCAGCTCACGGTAAAGCAGGTCACATCACTGCTATTGACATGCAGTGCCTCGTTCCACTTTACCACAGCTGCTTAATGACTTCTAATGACTAGAACGAGTCTGGAGAATCTGCAGCGACCACTCCGGAACACAGACACAGATACACTAATATCAGCAATCTAATCAAAACCTCTGCTCTTCTGCCAAGTCAAGCATCACTAATATTCTGCTCATATGTAGAGTTAGAGCTCTGTTCGCATTACTAACCCTGATAAACTTCAGCTTGTGTGAATGAATGTGTCTTGAGGAGAGCAGACAGACCAGAACACCTAAATAACCCAGAGAAACAATAATGTACAGTATGTGGAAAATAATGTGTTTTTTTAACCTTAAACCGCATAAACACATTTCATTACACCAAATACACCAAATAATGTTCTTTTTAGCAGCATCATATGACCCCTTTAAGATCATTAGTTATGGATGTGCACGTCCTTTTAAAGAAACATACATTACTTTGTCCTGCAAGTTTCATAAGCCCAGTCTGATCTTATTAGATCAAGAACAATCTTTCAGTTTTGTGTGTAATACTGTATGAAGTCAGATGTCTCACCAGTTTGTTTGGGTAGCGGATCACGACAGGCTGAACAGGAACCGCAGGAATGAACGCTCCTGAATCACACACACAAACATCAACACATTAGGATTAACAGCACGTCAGCTGCTTCTGAAATATAGGTTTGCCCATTAGGCATCAAGAGCACGCACGCACGCACACTCACACACACACACACACACACACTCACACACACTCACACACACACTCTCACACACACACACACACACTCATACACGCACACACACACACACACACACACTCATACACACACACACACACACACACTCTCTCTCGCTCTCACACTCACACACACAGAGAGAGACACACACACACACACACACACACACACACGCACACTCACACACACACACACACACACACACACACACACCTGGTTTGAATGTGATCAGGCAGGTTCTATTGGTGCACGTCCCTTCTGGAAAAATCATTATCTGAAAAACACAGTTTCTGATCGGTTCACTATCATGAATCAATTCACCAAAACAACTGAGTCAAATCTGGAAATAAACTGCAGTGACATGATGACACATGAGTCACTGTAATGCCTCGCATATGAGGAACTGATTTAAAGAGAACTACGAGCTCACAAAGTCCCAATCATACACATGGAAGACTATTTCAGTGAGGGGATAGAAAATAATAAATAAATGTAATTGCAATTTTTTCATCTCACGATTCAGACTTTTTTCAGAATTGTGATGCATCAACTCACAATTCTAAGAAAAAGAAAGAAAGAAAAAAAAAAACAGCAGAATTGTGAGATAAAGCCACAATTATTATTTATTTATTTTTTCTTAAATGTAATTGCAATTTTTTCATCTCACGATTCAGACTTTTTTCAGAATTGTGATGCATCAACTCACAATTCTAAGAAAAAGAAAGAAAGAAAAAAAAAACAGCAGAATTGTGAGATAAAGCCACAATTATTATTTATTTATTTTTTCCTAATTTTTTGGCAGAAACCAAAAATCAGAAGTGCACAAAACAAAATCTGAATTGTGAGATTCAGACATATTATATATATATATATGACTTCAAAACGAGGCCAAAACATTAACCCTAGAATGTTTACACCTGCAAATCATCAACACATCAGTAAAGTAAACATGGAGTGAATCTGAAATCATTAACTGGATGTTCATGCCATGAGAAACTTACAATTTCTTACTTTATATATATTTATAATGTTCCAAACCTACATTTTCTTGGGAATAGTGTTTTAATTTATGACCCATTTTTATTTATTTTTCACCCTGTGTCTTCAATATCACTTTCCATCCAGTTTGCGTAACAGAAGACACTTCCTTAGCGTCCCATTATTCTGCAGGAAGTGACATCATTTTAGAGGTTAATCAACAGCACAAGCATCAGTAAATGTTATTACCGAATCTGATGACATCCGGGATGTTTTGTGGTGTTAGTTTGTATCTCTCTAAAAATTCACCGTTTCAATTCATTTCAAATGATGGCTGACAATATGACAATATACTTCAGTTACGGTTCAGATGTTATCACTAATGAGGTTAAAGTCTGAAGTGAGCAGATCTCTGAAAGCCTGATATGTAGATCTCAGTAAAGACTTCTTTAAATGAAAGCACTGTGAGCTGTGACGGTACCTGCGGCCACTCTCCTGAATGAGCTCTTCTCTTGATCTCCTCCACCGTCTGCCGTCTGGAGTCCTGATCCGAGCGCGACACGAACACGGGCCGGATGTATCTGATGAGAGCTGAGACACAGACAGACACGTTTCAGAGGTAGGACCTCGTCTGTCCCGCTGCGGCTATTTTTACTCTCCAGACCTTAATGAGCCGCTGATAGCAGGACTCAATGACACATCGAGGACAGAGTGACACAAAAAGATATTGAGCGAATCTCTCAAACCTGTCACGCTTGAGCAGAGAGAAGAGTTTCCCATTATAGTGTGAACCTCACAGAAAACTAGCATTAGTTTGCATTAATAATGATGTTTTTAGAGGCGTCATCTTCACATGTAACAGAGACAGAATTGTTTTTGATTCTCTAAGTAATGTACTAAGATTAATATTGTTTTCTTCACATCAAGCTTCTAATAATTTGAGGAGCTGTGTGGAATTACACATGCTTTACTGTCAGTACATCAGATACAAACTGAAAACGTGTCAATGAAAAGCGTCTTTTAATTCATGTTTTTGTTCATTCATTATTTGCATTAAATTGATCAAGTGTCATTAAAGACATTTAAAATGTTACAAAATTAGAGGCGTCATCTTCACATGTAACAGAGACAGAATTGTTTTTGATTCTCTAAGTAATGTACTAAGATTAATATTGTTTTCTTCACATCAAGCTTCTAATAATTTGAGGAGCTGTGTGGAATTACACATGCTTTACTGTCAGTACATCAGATACAAACTGAAAACGTGTCAATGAAAAGCATCTTTTAATTCATGTTTTTGTTCATTCATTATTTGCATTAAATTGATCAAGTGTCATTAAAGACATTTAAAATGTTCCAAATTATTTCTGTTTCAAATAAATGTCAAATAACTTTCTGTTCATCTGTGAATCCTGAAAAATAAAATGTATCAGTTTCCACACAAAAAAAACTGTTTTCAACATTGATAATAATCAGAAATGTTTGTTGAGCAGCAGATCAGCATATTATACTGATTTCTGAAGATCATGTGACACTGAAGACTGGAGGAATGATGCTGAAAATACAGCTGCGCATCACAGGAATACATTACAGTTTAACAGATACTCACATAGAAGACAGCTGTGTTAAACTGTAATAATATTTCACTGTTTTACAGTATTTCGATCAAATAAACACATCCTCGGTGAGCAGAAGAGACGTCTCACTGCTCCGTGGTGTAGATCAAATGAAATATGGCCTGGTTTGCTCGATTGCATTAAGCTTTTGTTTGCTTTTCTCTGTTTGCTATGTTTAGCTGTGGGTTTTGTTGAGACGCCACAGAATCAGATTCAGATCTTCCTCTTTCACTTCCCTACAGCGGCTGAACCTCGTCCTCAGACTGACATCAGCGCGCTCCTCCTCATCCTCAGCCGCTCTGGAGGACTGAGCTGACAGCGAGAGATGGACGGAGAGCTGAGATCTGGGGATGAGAGGCTCAGAGCGGCCCACACCAACATTAGATCTGCAAACCGTGCACGCTCCGTCTCTGCGGTGCATCACGAAGCACAGGTCTGACTGGAGCTGCTTGTCAATCAGACTAATAAACCCTAAAACTGTATGCAGAACAGCTGTTTGAGAAAAACTAACAAAGCTAGTACTGTCTTCCTGAAAGTAACTGAGCATTTCTGACACAATCCCTCAAAACTAGTGATTGTATACACTACAGGTCTAAAGTTTAGAACATTTAGGATTATTTTTGTTTTATTTATATAAAAACAAGATTTCTTTTTTTTTTTGCATTTCTTATCAATGTCAAAAATAGTATTTTTTCTGCTAGTGGAAACTGGTAAAACGTACATATATACAGTGGTGGCCAAAATTATTAGCAAACTAGTATTTTCAGCAGTTATTTCTATCTTTTGCTGTAGTGTGTCAGTAGGAAATATCAGTTTACATTTCCAAACATTCATTTTGTCATTAATTGTAATAATGCAGTGAGATTTATGTTAGTGCTGCACACAGAGATCTGATCTGATCATAGTCAGTCTGTCTGGAGTCACTTGAAGAAACAGAACAAACTGAGACTCAATCCAGAAGAACTGTGTCTCCGAGACGCCTCAAGAAACCTCCTGCGACGCTCCTGAGAAACTCTGCTCAAGTGCACCGAGGGCTAAAGCTGCTTTAAACACAAAGGATGCTCACACCAAATGTTGATTTCATTTAGTTAATAGAAGTTAATTGATACAGAAAATCTATTTATGACATTATTTTTGACAGCATCTTCATTTTACAGCATTTTTTATATATATGTGTGTGTGTGTGTGTGTGTAGTGCCTTGCGAAAGTATTCATACCTTCATTAATTTTTTTTCACGTTTTGTTTTGTCACAGCCTTATGTTAAACTGCTTTAAATTACTTTTTTCCCCCACATCAATCTACACACCATACACCATATTAACAAAGCAAAAACAGAACTGTCACGACTTTGTAAATTTATAAAAAAAACTGAAATAAGTACATTGCATAAGTATTCAACTCAGTACTTAGCTGAAGCACCTTAACAGCCTCCAGTGTTTTTGGGTATGATGCGACAGGATTTTCACAACATCATTTGGCAATTATCTGTCATTCTTCTCCTCACCTGTTCACCTCTCAAGCTCTGTCAGGTTGGATGGGGGCAGATGCACATTTTCAGGTTTCTCTAGAAATATTTGATTGTGTTCAATCCCAGGCTGTGGATGGACCACTCAAGGACATTCACGGAGTCGTCTAGAAGCCACTCTTGCTGTGTGCTTAGGGTCATTGTCCTGTTGGAAGGTGAGTCTTCTGCCCAGTCTGAGCTTCTGAAAGCTATCTCTATATTTTGGTGCATTGAGCTTATCTTCTACTCTGATGAGTCCCTCGGTCCCTGACACTGAAAAACAGCCCCACAGCATGAGGCCTCTACCAGCACACTTTACTTTTGGGATGGTGCTCTGCAGGTGATGAGCAGAGCTGGTTTCCTTCAAACGTGATGCTTAGAATTGAGGTTCATCAGACCAGAGAATATCGTTTCTCACAGTCCGAGGTTCCTTTAGGTGCTTTTTTCCTAATTCCATGTGGGTTTTTGTGTGTCTTCACTGAGGAGAAGTCTGGCCGCACCGCCATAAAGCCCAGATCGGTGGAGTGTTGCAGTGATGTTTGTCCTTCTGTAGGTTTCTCCTAACTGTATATGATCATGGAGCTCAGAGTGACCATCAGCTACAAGGCCCCTCTCCATCAGCTGCTCTAGGAGGCCAGCTCTCGGAAGAGTTCTAGTTGTTCCAAACGTCTTCCGTTATGGATTATAAAGGCTACATGCTTCTGTGAACCTTCAATGAAGCAGAATTTTTTCTGAAGTGTTCCCCAGATGTGTGGCTTGACACAAACCTGTTTCTGAGCTCTACAGGCAGCTCTTTTGACCTCAGGGCTTGGTTTTTGCTCTGATATGCATTATCAGCTGTTAGACTAGGGGTGCTCCGATTGATGGGCTATCGATCACTATCGGCCGATAATCACGTTGGGATGATTGATCGGCGGTCTCTAAAAAGGCCGATCTCAAAAGAACGATCTCCATCTGATGACGCTGCTGTGAGAGGTTTGGCACGACATGCAGCGGCACCGTCTCAGTCTCAGTCTGGCGCAGGTGAAATCATTATAATGCTGAAGGTCAGGTACTCATTCTTCTTCTGAAATCTTCCCCAGATGTGTGGCTTGACACAAACCTGTTTCTGAGCTCTACAGGCAGTTCTTTTGACCTCAGGGCTTGGTTTTTGCTCTGATAAGCATTATCAGCTGTTAAACCTTTTATTAAGACGTGTGTGCCTTTCCAAATCATACCCATTCAATTTAATTTGCCACAGGTTAACTTCACTTGAAGTGAAGAAACATCTACAAGCAATACGAATGCTCCTGAACTAAATTTCAACTGTCCCAGATAAGGGTTTGAATACTTATGCAATGGAATCAAGTTTTTTTTTTTCTTTATAAATTAGCAAAAATGTTAAAAACCTGTTTTTATGGACAGCTTTTTAACCTCTGTGTGGAGGGTAGAATGATGTGGGAAAACAATAATTTAAAGCAATTTAACATAAGGCAGCAACATAAAACGTGAAAAAACAATGATTTTTTTTTTCGCAAGGCACTGTATATATATATATGTGTGTGTGTGTGTGTGTGTTTTATAAACCAGCAACAATGGCAAAAGAAGGATGAATGATGGATGGATGGGAACATCAGTTGTTCAGAAGCAGCAGAACAGAGCAGAGGACTTACTGCCCCACACATTTTTTTTATCAAACCAATCCAGAGAAACTGAATTTTTTCAAGTTGTCTCCTAATTTGTTCCATAGCTGTAAATTGAATTAATGCTATTATACTGTAAAAAATACCATTCAAATGAAAATGTTACTGTATAGTGTAAAATTGTTTATCAACAATCACTTATTGTGAGCTACTTGTTTGTAAATGAATACAGCACCACACTTCGCTCCACACACACACACACACATATATGAGAGATACGGACACATCCATCCCTGACAACATCTGAATGTGAACTGGCCAGACCTGCGTTTCCCAAAAGCATCGTAAGCATAAGTTGACCGTAGCTCCATCGGTGGCAATGGGTCTACAATGTACTTAGGCTTACGATGCTTTTGAGAAACGCAGCTCTGATCACTCAACATGGCTAAGTTTAAATGGACAGCAGACTTTACATTGCACTGCAGATCTGCATTAAAATAGCATCATCAAAGCATTACTGAGTCAGGATCTGTTTATCCCGTCTCACAGCTCAATGAAGTCACGTGAGTATTAACATTGCTGGACGTAATTTGCATCTTTAAAGTGTTAACATTTTAGGCACTGGATCTACTGTAGAACGACGGGCATCTGGAAATAGAGATTCAAAGGACAACAGCGTGAGTGTGCGTTTTCAACGTTGATGATAATCAGAAATGTTTCTTGAGTAGGGTTAGGGTTTGTTGAATTGTATCAATTCCGATTCCAGTTCTTTTTGATTCCCAGTTTCCATTCCAATGTGATTAAAAAAAATAAGTCAAACATTTAGATATCAAACAGCTGAATACCATGAACAAAAATCAGCCGGCTACATAAAATCTGGACTCGTTTAAGAGCTGTTTGTGTGCAAAATAGAGCTGCGTGATTCTGGATAAATTGAGATTTCTTAATTAGTTTTTTCAATGGAAGTTGTGGTTCTCACGATTCTGAAGAAAAAGCATTAGACAACAAAAAAAAAAAATCAGATGTAATTTATGAATAAATGATTCAACGACTTTTAATCATTCTCTTGAATAATCCAAAGACAAATACATTTTAACAGCACCTTTCGCTACCTACTGGCGTAACAATGTAATCATAAATCTTTATTTGAACTGAATTGCTTTCAAAAGGTGATTTACTCTATTTTGATCGCTACTGTACACATCATATTTTATATCCGAACAGTAAACTTTTATCCCAGCACTTCTATGATTATCTGAATGTTTGTAAAACAGAAATAATGATTCTGTGTTGTTCACGTTGGTGTTTGAATCGTGTTCGTGATGTTTAACGATCTGTTAAATTAAAGTGCTTTGGGGGAGACACCTCTCTTGCAACATGTTTAGCTTATCACAAATATTAGACTAAGCTTTTTCGGCTTCTGATCACAAGTGTAGGTCCTGGCAGATCGATTCAATTCAATTCAATTCATGTGACACTGAAGACTGGAGTAATGATGCTTTGATCACAGCAATCAATTACAGTTTAACAGATATTCACATAGAAAACAGCTAGCATAAACTGCAATAATATTTCACATTTTTATTATTTTTACTGTAGAGGTGAGCAGAAGTCTTACTGACCCCAAACTTCTGAACCATAGTGTGATACTAATAAAGCGGGGCTCTTTGGAAGCGCTCTTCTATTTGCATTGGGTGACAGAAACAGAAGCTGTTTAGCTGTGATTGCGCTGCGCTGCTCACTTCAGTTCTCTCAGCAACTTCCTGATTTACCAAATAGAAGATCTGAAGTCAAATTCATCTCACCACAGACAAACTATAAACTCTACAGCAAGAGGAGCGAAGGAAATACGCAAAGAAGCGTTGTGAATCTGAACGAAGCTGAAATGAAGCAGAGCAGCTCTTTACTTTCTCCATAAGCACTGCGGCTCCACCGCCCTCTCGGAGCGGCCCACCGAGGCGATGAAGGCAAACGGCCAGGCCAGCAGCATCATGAACGCCGCTATGAAGAGCCGGATGGGGAAGAGCGTCACCGTCATCAAACCGATCTGCAAAGAAAACACACACACACACACACAAAGCTGTTAAATGAAGCATTTCTACAGATCTTCCTGTTCAAAGCTCCCGAGGGTCAAACCCGAGTTCAGAGTTCATTATACTATCAAAACAGAGTGAAACTTTCAGAGCTCAACACTTCCTCTCAGCAACGTCTTGAGAAACATGACTCGAGTCTTGAGGTTAGTTTCCAGCGTTAACCAAACACTCACACTCGTCTCAAGTGTGTCTCTGGCCTACGGTTCATAGTGAGCGTGGAAAATAATCATTCAAACATAAATGACGACTAATGAAACAACTTCACTAACGTCGCAGGTGGATTTTAGGGGGAAAAAAAGATTTTTTTAAAAATGAGCCTATTTAAAAATGAAACAAAAATATGTGATGTGAACTGCTTAAGACACTTTAGATGATTTCTTCAAATGTTAAAGCTTGCACATCCAAGAAATTAAAATCATGCATGAAAAAAAAAAACACTGTTGGTCAAAAGAATATTTAATAATTCATTAAATGTTAAAGAACATTTAATTGGTGACCATTTTTAATGACTTTTTCATTGGATCATGCATATCCAAAAAAACAATGTAACTCAGGCGACCAAAAAAACAAACAAACAATGCATAAGAATGTCAGCAAAATGTTGCTCTCAAAATATTTAGTAAACTATTAAATGTTCTTGGGATCAACAGTGTTGCTCTTTTTGCACTTTTGCATGACAACTTCATCTGTCAGTCAGTAATCTAACACAGATTTAATTTGTTTATTTGAATAAAATAATTGGATTAAATGTCAGTGTTGTTAACTGATTGTCGTTTACATTTAAGATCATCTCTAGACTAGTGTGCAAAGACAACCATCAGCCATTTAACCCTGAATCAATGGATTTGCAAAAGTTACTCATATTTTTGGCAGACTGTGAATCATTACATTTGTTGAAGCGGCCTGGCTGTTATATTAGTCTAATACAGGCTGTCTGGAAGCAGGTTAGACGCCACAACACAGAGAGATTGAAATGTCTCAAGATCCTCGAAGATGAAGTGTGACATGGGACACATTCAGCAGATTACAACACAAACAAACACAAGCTTCATGGGGCCCTGAACCCGTGATTATCAAACACAAGCGGCTCTTATCAGCGCAGCGGTGATACGGGATATCAGCAGTCAATATTTGCCTTGCTCTTATCAGCACTCGACTGCATCTGCACACTGATAGCTTTCAAACTGACCAATTAACAGCGCTGGAGGACATTCAGGATGCCTTCGTGCTTTCCACTGAGCCACTTTAATTGAGTTGATCATAGACCAACAGGCTGCCAAATCCCATATCAGCTAGCAGAGGCGTGGGACGAGCTCGCTAAAAATACAGCGATCTGCTGATTCCACCAGCTTCATGCTGGAAATATCACTCAAACCAGCCATCAGCTCCTTCATGATGCCATTCACTCACTCCCATCACTCTGTAGAGCACAAAACAAGAGTCCTCCATGAATGGAACAGCACTACTCAAGCTGAATATTGCAATTCAACACAATATAACTTCTACATCCATGCAACATTAAAACCTAAAATGCTCAATATTCTGGAATGGAACGAAACTGCATGAAGAATAAAATAAAATAAAAATGTTAAAAAATCTCTCCTTTCGTATGGAACAATGTGATTGCACATTTTCATTCTTTGCTTAGGGGTAAAATCCGGTTTTCCTTCTTCCTTTCATTGCAAAAACATTTGAACGAGCTGTGTTCAAACAAGTCTCTGCCTTTCTCACACAGAACAACCTCCTTGAAAGCAACCAGTCTGGTTTCAGAAGTGGACATTCAACCACTGCCTTGCTCTCAGTTGTTGAAGCCCTAAGACCGGCAAGAGCGGATTGCAAATCTTCAATAAATATCTTGCTGGATCTGTCCAATGCTTTTGACACAGTTAACCACCAGATCCTCATGTCAACCATACTGGCAAAGGGCATCTCAGGAACCACACTCCAGTGGTTTGAGTCTTACCTTATCAATTTGCACTGGCTACCAGTAGCTGCTCGCATAAAATTCTAGGCATTAACGTTTGCCTACAAAACCACCACTGGCGCCGCACCCCTTTACCTAAATTCATTACTTCAGACTTATGTGCCTCTAGAAGCTTGTGTTCTGCAAGTGAACGTCACTTTATTGTGCCATCCCAAAGAGGCACAACATCACTTTCACTGACTTTTACATTAAATGTTCCCTCCTGCTGGAATGACCTGGAAATAACTCAGTCCGAGCAGTTAGCCATCTTCAAGAATCGACTAAAAACACATCTCTTCCACTCTAGCACTCTCTATTCTAATTATATTCTTTAAAAAAACAAACACTTGCATATCATTGCTCTTTTGTTGATTTTGATTGCTTCCATTGTCCTCATTTGTAAATCACTTTGGATAAAAGCGTCTGCTAAATGACTAATTTTATATGTAAAAGCAGTGCTGCCATGTCAGTGTTACTTAGTTACAACAGTAAAGCAGCTCTACAGAGTGTTCACAATTGTATGTGTCTGACCTCAACAGACCAAATAAAAGAAATGAAGAGGAGAAGATTCCATGTCAAAGAGGCGGAGTCACAGAGCCACACCTACATATTACATCATCGCCATGGACCAATGGGAGTTTGAAGGTGTTTTACCAGCCGGAGCGAACTTTTCTGGAAATTTCGTTATGGCAAGCGGTTTAAAATTTTTCATTTTGGCTTGATTTTACAGCCCTATGATTTCTGTAATAATTTGACATGCTTTTTGATTAATAAAATTTAGGCTACATCCACATGAAGCCAGAGCTTTCCCTATCAGTCCTTTGTTTCCCCTCGTCTCAAGAAATATCTGCGTACACAAGAAACCGACACAAAACGATGTAGTATTCATGCCAGACCAGTATGTGACGCTGTAATTCTGCCACAGAGATACACTAAAAATGGAGAAGACTTGGACTATGTTCATAAACCTTGCACGCGGTATACAAACGAACGTGGAACAATACATTTATCAATCTGTGTTAATGTTAGTTGATAAAAAGACATTCGTTCAGTGTTTGTTCATGTTGTTGCGGTGATGTGACGTAGCGGTGTCTGACTAGGGTCGAGATGCGAGGTGATGACCTCATTGTTTCACAAAATAGACGGATTCTCTGTACACACGAAAACGCAAGGGTGACGTTTTCAGATTTATCCACTCTGGGACCCAGTTTAAAAAAAATAGCGGTTTCACTCTCCCAAAACGCCGGATCCGTCTGGAAGAAACCGTCCGATACAACATTTTTGCGTATACAGCTAAACGTGTCTCCGTGTGGACGGGGCCTTAATTTAACTATTAAAACAAGAGTCAAAAAAAAAAAAAAACGGAATCCAGAAAAAATACAAATTGAAAAAAAAAAAACGGAATTTGGGAAAAAAATAGAACTTCATAGAGCCCTATGATTTTTTGGAAATGACATCACACCACAGCGCATCCTTTTATTTCGCATTAAGTATTTTAATGCCTTAAGAAACATTTATAGGACAGCATATGATAGATTTTATTGCTTATCTGAGCAGTTTTTCAGTGAGACTTCGGTATTTCCCTGATCAGGTACACTCACATTTATGCATATGGCAGATCGTTTTCCAAAGCAACTTACACTGCATTCAAGACATTTGATCAGTTCATTCACTTCTTGGGAAATGAACCTATGATCCTGGCATCATTAGCACCATGATTTACTCTTTGAGCTACAGGAATACTATAAAGTAGTATTGAGTAGAAAGGAGTGGGTCTTGCATGTCCAAAATATCTGGAGGCATTGGTGATATGACCACCAAGTGAACTTACTTTCCTTGAAAGGAACTTTGAAGACTAAGACACTCCTCATATTCAAGATCACTTCAACTACTATAACAAGTCAGCACAATAAATATTTTTTTGGAAGATGTCTAAAGTCGTTTGTGCTTACCATGAATTGAATGGGCTTCAATATTGTTTAGAGCCAATGCATTTCTAAAATATATTGTTTTGTGTGTCCCACAGGATAAATTCACACAGGTTTGGAACAACATGAGGTTGAGTAAATGATGACAGTAAATGAACGTCTCTTTTTGGGTGATCTGTCCCTTTAAAGACACACACCAGTCATTCAGACAGACCAAGAAACCAACATCTCCTTGAATGACTGCAGACTGGCAGCCCTAAAGTGAAGACTCGCTGTGCATCATCTGAAATAATCATGACTCATTTCCTCTACATCACCATGCACTGCTGTGAGTGATTCCTCGTGCTCGCCTCACCAGCGGACGCTCATCCATCAGCGAGTCTGTCAAACCGTCAAGCCTGGACAGAAGGATTTCGACATGAAGAACCATCTAGTGTCATAGTGTGGATCCGACCACCAGAAATACACGATCTGATCCCGTCTCTGTCCACACAGAAACACGCGGAACATGCAGGATTCATATTTAAATAGTATTTTTACGGCGTAATATTTACAAATGCTAGTCCATATCGCCGTATGATTTAAGTGTAATGACCTCCTTTTGATTCATTCATTCAAACTTTGAAAAATTCCGTGACTGTAAATTCCATTTTTACAACTGGATTCCGCGATTCTGTCCACGTCTTAAACTTAAACAAGTCTTCAAATACAGCGCATTTCAAGGTCATACTGACTGCGGTTCTGTTCTGGTGTGGTGTGGTTTAGCAGGTCATGAGAGTCAGCAAATCATGCTCTGCATAAACATCAAACCTACTCTGACAGGTGGACAGAGAGGATGCTTCTCTTTACGTCTTCCATAACCTCGCAGGAACCATCTAGTGTCATAGTGTGGATCCGACCACCAGAAATACACGATCTGATCCCGTCTCTGTCCACACAGAAACACGCGGAACATGCAGGATTCATATTTAAATAGTATTTTTACGGCGTAATATTTACAAATGCTAGTCCATATCGCCGTATGATTTAAGTGTAATGACCTCCTTTTGATTCATTCATTCAA